TACACATATATACGTATATTTATGTATATATATTTGGATATATATATATACATACACATATATAAAAACATATATACGTATATATATGTGTGTGTGTGTGTGTGTGTGTATTTATATGTATATATGTATGTATATATCTGTTTATATATATGTGTGTGTGTGTGTGTGTACATATATCCATGCATATACATATGTATATATATATATATATATATATATATATATATATATTTATTATACACACATATATGTATACATATGTATATATGTAAATGTATACATATATATCTGTCTATAAATATGCATGTATGTATATATGTATATATATATATATATATATATATATATATATATATATATATATATATATGTATATATATGTACATATGAATATATATGTGTATACATATATATACATACATATACATATGTATGTGTATATATATATATATATATGTTTTATGTTTATTATACACATATGTATATATACTTATGCATATTATACACAAATATATTCATTTATATATATACATATATAAGTATATTTTACACACACATATGTGTATATATATGTGTGTGTGTGTGTATGTGTGTGTGATATACATACACGCACACACATGCATTCATAATATATATTATATTATATTATATGCTAAATATATACATATATATATATACTACACTGTATATATATATATGCATATATGCATATATATACATATATGAATACATATATATATGCATATACATATATATATGCATATACATATATATACTTATAACATGCACACACACACACACGCACACGCACGCATATGTATATCGATATATATGTATACATATATCTGTATACATATGCATATATATATATATATATATATATATATATATATATATATATATATATATATGTATATGTATATATATATATATATATATATATATATATATATATATATATATATATGTATATATATATATATATGTGTGTGTAAATATACATATTTGTATAAGTATGATTATGTACTTTTCCTCAAATGGAGTGATGAGCTGTTAGATAGATGGAAAAGCAGGAAGAGAGAGTGATAGAGAGAGTAAGGGGGGGGGGAGAAAGAAAGAAAAAGAGGAGCAGGCAGATAAAGAGACAAAGTGAGTGAAAGAGAGAGAGGATGGGTGTTATCCATTTGGATAAAACACAGAAATAACGATAAACGCCTGGTTTTCTATATAGAGCTCTATCTGCATAATGAACAGAGATTATTGTATCAGTCTACAATTACGTCAAAGGTAGAGAGAGAGAGAGAGAGCGATGCACAATGCCCTGTAAAAAGTAGGGTAAAATGCCAAAACCTCTATCCGAACTGCCAGTATCCTGTATAGTGGCACTTGAATACCCTGCTATGATAGTCTAGAAGTTTGGTGAATGATATTTGCAGTTACCATGTTATCTGGATTAAACAGAGTGAGCTTATGGATGGCACCCTAACAGGTGCCAATGCTGCTCACTACCTTTTTTAATGGCACTGTATGTGGTTACCGACTCGACATCAGTTGTGCTTGCTCAGTTAGTCACACTTCATTTATGATCTGTATCAAGAATTAGTACACTAGTCCCTGCTGAGTTGATTCTGCTCAGGAATACAATCTCTCTGTCCGCTTTTGAGATTCTAACTAAAGAACAGAAGATCTAGCCAGTATGAGCCTTCTACGAAGCTTCATCTCAAGGATCTTTCTTCAGTTGTTGTGCACGTCTGCCTCTGGAAGGTAGAGACCTATGTTTGGTAGGACTTTTGGCTTGTAATTAGGTAATGATATTGCCTTGTTAATGGAGAATTTCATTTGAAATATTAAGGCAAATGGGAGTAGTCTTTATACCAGCAGGTAATCCTTTTAATAAACTCATCGTTTAGTAGCAAGATGGTGTCGATGGCGTGGTTAAGGTGGGCTTCTCTTGCAAAATGGAAGGGTTATACTTGCCAAGATTGGGATGACTTTTGCGGAGCTTTGGAGTTTATATCGAATTAAATAGTCTGATTTGCCACCTAGATAGTAAGTTTTATCAAGGGACATAATAGGTGTATGGGGTTACTAGTGGAGATAATAAAAATAACCTTAGCGTTTTTGCCTGTGGTGCTTCCCTCAGACCCTACGAGGGAATGGCAAACATTGAAATCACACAATAGGACAGTCTCACTATGTATTATTATAGTCAGAGGATTCAGGTAACACTTTACTATCATGTGGGTATAAACATTAATGATGGGGATGGTTTTACCAAGAAATAGAAATATTTTAACACTAAGATAGTCAGCACTTAAGTTATCACGGGTGTGTCATCGATCCCTTTCGATGGAATAGAGTTCTTTGTAAAAGTCATCTTGAGTGTGTGCGTGTGTGTGTTTTGAGAGCGTGCGTGTGTGTGTGTTTTGAATGTGTGCGTATGTGTGTTTGGAGAGTGTGCGTGTGTGTTTTGAGAGGGACTAGCAATATTTGGTATGTC